TTGACATGTAGTGTTATGAAAATGTTGGTTCCAGTTTTCAAAACAAATTCTGACTCATAAGCCTGTAAACTTTTGAATGCCTTTATTTGCCCTCTAGCGCATTAACCATGGGTTAACACTAAATAAGCCATAATATCCACATTACTCATAGAAGAGATACCAGTTACTGTGTGATCCACTTGTCGCATTCACTGATTAACTTTTACTTTTTATACCTATAACAAATATATCCTTAGAAATGTAAACAGATCTTTATATTTTATACTAACCTGGCTACATCTGGATATTCCATTAACAATTTTCTTAAATATTTATTATCCATTTTAAAAAGATCATAGTTATTCTCAAAAAGTCGATTTCAAAAGCAAGAAAAAAGTATTTCTGACATCAATCAACAACCATATTGACTTTAATTTGACAGTGACATTTCGTTTTAGACACACATTTCAGATCACAATAATGTAAAATTTGCGACCGTTGTCTGGGACCAATTAAAAAATTACTTCTATGACATTTATTCGTTTCTTAACCGCTCATTAGCTGTTCACCGACTAAGGCCGATAAAGATAATTATTTCATAAATTTTGAACACGACTATATTTCGAAACTCGCTCTTAGTAACAAATCTAGTTACTTTTCCCTGTGTAAATGCGTCTTTTCAATTCGCTCCTCCTAATTTAAAAACAAAGTATAGTCAACCCACACATGTCCAAAAGCAGCCGTCCACTGAGTATCCATATTCAGCTGTCAAATAATGTGCTTAAACGGATGGACATTGGACATCCGAATACGTATATAGATGCTCTGGATCTGGGCTATATGTGGATCTAAAATGAACTTATATTGGACCATATGTGCTGTCTAAGCAGTGCCTGAATTTTTAATTTGAATGTATAAGTAGAAATTTCCACTCGACTATTTACTGTAGATTTCTAATTAACATTGTGGTTCCTAAAGAGACGATGGGAAACAGCGATGGTAAATCTCAACACAAACTACACAGAACGTATATGAAGGGCTCGGGTGTAAAAGTTGTTAAGTGGCATTGTATTGTTTTTTGGTTACAAGCATTTTTAATTGTTTTATAATTATAAAATCGGGGTTATATTATTTAAGCCTTTTATTGCACTGACCGACTCAAATAACTTGTCTAGTTTGGTTATATGCCTTTATTACCAAAATAAATTTTTTTAACTCATACAAATTGAAAAAGAAATCAAAAAATTGTTACGTAACATATTTTACATCAACTTTATGTAAGACAAATAGTATTTAACAGAATTTGAGGTGGTACGAAAAATAATGTGAACTCAAAGTTTTTTATATGAAATACAATGTTTTTTACCCAAAGCAATAAAATTAGAAACAATTATTAATTATTTGCTGCAGTATTGATGCTATAGTAATAGGCGTGATAAACAGGTGGAACCCATTTAAGACATGATAAAACGTGCTGGAGTTTGGTTTCTTCCACCGCTAATTTTTCCTGATATTTTAGGAGTGGGTTTTAGGACAAAGTCCTGAATGGACACTGCTCGGCCCCTTTTTTTTAACGAAATCTCTTCGGGAAGTTCATGGTAATTTTTAAACGCTTTTAGGATATAGGGATTAGACACATTAAGTTCTAATTTTACAGAAGAAGTTATGCAAAAGTTCTCTCCATTTCGTGATTTTATATTCTGGTTAAAATATCGTCGATATTCAGTGTAGTCTAGAAAATCTTCAGTTTGCATTCTATATACTGAAAATTGTTTTTTCTTTTTACAATCTCGGAGAATTTTTCCCCATCCTTCTGGATCATATACTGCATGTTGACGCTGCGCCAATTTTTCAGTTAAACCAAAATCTCTATCACTTGGCATCATAGAATGACCCGATTGAAGAAAGATGTGGACAATTTTCTTGAATTTTTTCATTGCTAATAGATGTAGCCAAAAACCTACAATGGTATAGTTTTTGTTCTGTCCACAGCAGTTTTTCGTTTTATGTTTTGTGTACTCATGCATCCCATTAAATACGCGTTTTGTATGTCGTATTCTTTTAAACCCCAAAATTTTGAAAATATAACTTCCTTTTCATCTTGACTTACGTTTTCAAAACATTTTTTTTTGCATTTGCAAGGGTCGCCAATTTTTTTCTCTTTAACAACTCGTCCACGGCCCTTGTAAGTTTTGTATCGTTTTCCACTGTTTTTCAATATCTTGTTAATTTTTTGTCTTGATCCATGTCTGGTACGTTTTTTGGGTGCCTGTAAACATAACGGACACACGAATTTCGAAAAAAAAATTTAACTAAAAAATAGTACTAACTGTATATATGAAATAACAAAAAAAAAATTTGCGGGTTACGCATAAATAACAGAAAAATTTGAATTTTAACCTGCAGATTTTGGTTTTTCTAACCTAAAATTTTTTCAATTTTCGTGTAATGTATGTGCATGGTTATCAAGAATTTCAATTTTTAACAAAACCCAGATTAATAATTGACAGAATCCAATAGGTATTTTTATGAATCGAATACTTACATGTTTGATTTTACTGTCTGCTTTAATCTCATCTCACGTAATTATAGTTATGAAAAATATTTGGTAACTATTGCGAAGACGCCCTTTTCTTAAAAATACAAATTTTTTTACGAAACTTACATTTTAGGCTTTAGAAAGAAGCGTATTTTTCAAATATACCACCGGAAACCCCATAATTTAACGTTTATAAAAATAAATTGCATTTAAAGGCTTACGAGGATCATTAACTGATCATTTATGTAAACTTATTCATTAGAATTTAGAATTATATCTGTCAATTCAAATATTTGCGGTGTTGCCAAGTGTACTTAAAATAAAAGAAAAAAAAATTACCCTATTTTTTAAATAGCATTTCCATACACTTTAAAAAGCATTTCTTTAATTTATTTTCAGTCACATCTGACGATTTGTTTAACCATTTTGATTGAATTGTTGTGGTACATAATAAATAATAATATTACATCATCTATAAAGTAATAAACAAGTACTTTTCGAAAATTTTTAAACATAATTTTATTATCACTTTATATTAGGCATTCCAAACAAAATGGCTACCTGTTTAAAATGACAGGCCACTGACAGGTTATAATAATATGGCAGCACTGTGGGCCTGTTGATTTGATAGGATCAATGTTATAGACAGTTATATAGATTGATCATCCATGTATTTCAAAATAAACATATGCTTATGCCTTAAAGTAAAAATGTAGGAAATTATACTTTTAATATATTCTAAGGTTGGAAATTGGTTTTAAAACACATTTTTCCTAAATCGATTCAAATTAATGGAGACTTTTTATTTATTATTTTATTATTTTGTGTTGTTTAGTTAATAATTGTCTTACATGTGTTTTAATTATTAATTTATTCAATCAGACATCTCGCGGTTTAACCTAACCTAAAAATATTTTAAAAAAAATACTATTGTAGGTATTACATGACTTTTTTAACTCGTTTGTTAAACTTTATGTAGCACTTCCTTTATGGAAATAGTCAAGGTGAGTCAAGGTCATTGTTTAATTTTCTTTTGTGTTTTTTCTGTTATTTTGTATATGTTAATATCCGTTCATACTTTTATTACAACTGACTCCTTGACATTCCATTTAGGTGTACCTGATGATGAAGTAATAGCTTCGAAACCGGTCGCCAATTAAAATTGACTTGTGAGAAATAAAGGACCTTTTTTTTAACCCCTTATACTTAATGGAGACTTGCCAGCACTGATCTGTATTGTTTTACTGGATAGGATATAATATAGCCCCCTAAAAAACGTTCCGAAAAATTGGCCGATTTCGGCAAATAATATGGCGGACCCCGGATGTTATTTAACGTAACCTCTATTTCCATTTGTCATTACATTTGTCATTTAATTGTGTCAACAAGCTACGATGAGATGTTTTTATTGTGGAAAACAAAGTAAAAAGAGTATGAAATAAACAATAAACGTTCATTCCTGAAGACACAATAAGATTCACGTTTTCATTTTTATATTTTCTTTCATAAAAAATCAAATCAAGGGTGAAATTTCCCGAAGGACATCGCCCGCAAAAGGAATAGAAGAAGAATAAGAAGAAAAACTAATCAAATTTTTTTTTTGTTATTTCATATATACAGTTAGTACTATTTTTTAGTTAAAAAAATTTTTCGAAATTCGTGTGTCCGTTATGATTACAGGCACCGTTTTTTGCCTTTCTTCTTCTGCTCATTATTCTGAAAATAACAAAACTTGCTGAATAAATATATTAATTAACTCAACAATGAACAAAAATTTATAGTTTTGCTGTTAATGTTAAGTATACAAACTAACGAATTCAAATACAACATGTTAAGTGATGTGTCACATAACATAATTTACACAAAAATTCAAAATGCAGGTAAATAATGTTATCTACTTCACTTAACATGTTTTACTTGAAAAATGTTGTAAAAATTAATTTTACTAACCTCTAAATTTTCTTGATTTTCCGATGCTGAGCTTGAATTTTAATAATCAGGGTCAGCGTCACTGTCATCAAATTTAATTAGATCACTATTTTCGTTCATTTTGGCATCCATCTTTTCACTATTTTTAAAAATATTATGCACACATGTTAAGTACTGCCACCATATTGTTTGACACTTACCAAGTTTTACTTGCAACTGTTATAATAAATTCCATTTAACACGTTTTGCTAGATGGCGGTATAACACAAATGAGCCGCTTGGCGAGAAATTTGAATTGTTCCATAAAATAGATGTGTACTTAACATATCTTACAAGCTATAAACAAAAATTCTCCACTTTGTCACTTAACATATTATACGCCCGAAGCATTCATATGTCTAAAAAGCAAATCAACTGAGAATGGCTGATTGGATAGTTCCTACCAAAGCAAAAAAATAACTTAGTTATAAATGTTAAAAAAACTGCTAATTTTATTAAACTTGTTTAAATACCAACGTTTTTCAAATACCTAAAATTATGGCTTTTATTTCAGAATTGCCAATATGGAACTTTGATGGAAGCTCAACGAACCAAGCAGAAGGCAGCAACTCAGACGTTTATTTATACCCAGTTGCTATCTACAAAGACCCCTTTCTAAGAGACAACAACAAATTAGTCCTCTGCGACACCTACAAGTACAACAAGAAACCCACGCTAACCAACAGACGGATATCCTGTTTGCAGGCTATGGATGCCGCCAAAGAAACCATACCCTGGTTCGGAATTGAACAAGAATATACTTTGTTGGACATGGACTTGCGGCCTCTCGGTTGGCCTAAAAACGGTTTTCCCGGTCCCCAAGGACCCTATTATTGTGGTGTCGGCGCAAATAAAGTGTACGCCCGTGATATAGTGGAATCGCATTACAGATGTTGTCTCTACGCTGGAATTAACATTTCAGGGACCAATGCGGAAGTTATGCCTGCCCAAGTGAGTTCTTTATTAATTAATTATTAATATTTGTTTTATATTTAAAGCGTCCGCAAAAGAAATAATATTCCCCGTATATCTTTCACTATTAGCATAAAATATGTTAAATAAATATTCTCTTGGATTCTACCGATCTTTATTCGTCAATAAATCTGATTATATCACTCACTCATTGTAATAATTTCATGTTTTTAGTTGATTAATAATCGATAATCATACATCATGTACTTGGATAATAGCTGATTATCATGCTTGGTACATTTGGAAGGTATTATGCAACAAAGAATCAATCAACATTTTTTCAATAATGAAATTACCTCACTCTAGTATCCCCAAGAGTTATGTGATTTTTGGTTTACCCTCATTCCTGTGTTCCAACTTATTTTTCAATTGTTTTTTTTTACTTCATTCGTAGATTGATTATTTGCTATATAGTAGCATCTATTTCCTTTAATGCTATACTGGTAAGCAAGCTTGTTATGTTATGGATAACCACATAAATGAAAACACTTAACGTGTTGTCAAATGATTAATAATTAATCTCTGACAACATACTTTGTGCATTAGGTTATGCGATTATCGATAGTCTCGATACCACTCGGTATTTTCAACGATATACCTTACAATAAGTTGAACAAAATGTAATAGAAACATGTACGTAACTGCATACATAAATACGATTTCATTTTCTGCTCGCCCCACTCCAGACACAGATTTGTTCGACAAACAACAGCGGTCTTTACCTGATATGTGCATGTTCCTATTACACCTTTGTATCATATAGTTTCGGTATTAAAATTTTCCGTATTCCAAATTCCGTACCGGTATTTAACTCTGATGCAAGAAGGGGATATATCCAAAATTTGGAAAAACGAGATTATCTGCTTAAAGCTAACAGAATAATGTTCTTTTACTGCAGTGAAAATAGGGTACATATGCGATGAATGGCTACCGAGTTATAACAGAAAAACATATATCCCCTATGATGTACGGGTGCAAGAATGGTATATGTGTCATGCACTTTTCCCGTTCTTGCACTGCAAATTGTTGTACTTCTAAAGGTACCATTTCAGAACGCCTGATATACTACTAAAGACAGCATAAATGATTTCTATAAAATGGAATATAATTGAGAAACTTGAGGTAAAATGCAATTATTTCTATAAAGTAAATATCAAAAAATGAATTACAAAACATTATTTTATAACTTCATTGCTAACAAAAATTCTGAAAAAATCAAATTTTGCCATTTTTCCCAATTTTTTTCATTACGGTTCTCGTATTAGAAAAAATCACGTATATGAATTATACGAGAATAATACCACAAACAACTCTGGTTGAAAGAATTTTCTTCTATAATCATAAATAACAAATATAAACCTTTAAGTAATATAACAAAAAATATAATAATAAAAAAATTATAATAAAAAGCCATATTTTGATAGGCAACCCAGCAAAACCGTATTTCTCCATCAATAATGATTTATATAAATTGTAGTTTAATTAAAAAAAGAGTTCAGAAATCATACGGTCGGACGAAGACTATTGGTTCTTTAAAGCTCAGCAAGTGTTGCTTTATCTTATGTTCATTTGTTCTTCAGTTTTATTTGATCTACAGTTTAATTTGTTCTTCAATTTCATTTGTTCTGTTTATTAGAAAAATACGTAAAATATTCTTTATATGTTTTAATTCCATTAGGTCCATTAATTAAAATTTTGATGGCCCTAACTAAAGTAAAATTCGCATTTTATAAAACGACTAAAACATTTCACCCGCCAGAATTTCAAGCAGAATATCTGTATCTGTAACGTGTGAAGGGTGGGTTACCCCCACGGTACTTAGGCCTCATTAGGCCCATTGTGCATCCTCCTCAGAAGATAGCTCGTGAGCCAGCCTACAGATTTAATGTAGTTGACAACCTCGCCAAGAGGTACTTCTCTTATATCGGCTGGTGTTAGCCGATACTCGCCGAACACAAATCTTCTAATAAATGAGGGCGTCAAGCAATCGTAAAGGAAATGCTCGATGGTCTCATCTTCTTGTTCCCACCCTCTGCATAGTGCGGATTCTGACAGCTCTAGGATATAGAGATGCTTCCGTACTTGGCAATGACCAGTCAGAATGCCTGTGACCAGGCGCAGATTCTGTCTAGTCATAGTCAAGTATTTGTTTGCTGCAGTGTTGTCAGGATAACTTAACAGCTCCCTGGCAACTCTACAGTTTCTTGTTTCATCCCATCTTTCCTTGAATTTCACAAGGGAATGTTCTTTAATTAGGTTTGTCAGGCCAATAGAAGGGCCAGGTCCAAAAAGTATTTGGTTGGCTGCTTTCTTGGCTAGTGAATCAGCAAGACGATTTCCTTTCGATGTGACGTGACGGCCAAAGCTTTGTGATATTCTAGTACTAACCCTTAGTAAATTCGTGGTCTGTTCAGAGTAAGTAGTGCTTGTCTGCTATCTTTATAGATGAGCATATTCCTTCCAGTTATATTGTTTCTGGTTATTTCTTTTGCTGCTATGGGAATCCCCGTTAGCTCTGTTTGAACCACACTGGCACTATTGCTCACAGCCTATTTTATGTTTAGGTTTAAGAATCTGGAGTATATTTCACATCCTGAACCTTGTTTTGTTTTAGAAACATCGGTGTGGATATAAATCGTACCTGCCACTTTCCGACTCTTCTATTTATTCTATTATAACTTTATATGGCTTATGGAAAATATATCTTGGTGAGATGGAGTCCATGTTCGCTTGAAGCGTATCGAGCACCTCCTGCCAAAGGCGACGTCTCTCCTCACCAGATCCTACATCAGGTTTTATTTCAACCTCCTTGATGTAAATATCAAGGAGAGTGAGACTAAGAATGACTTCCTGTTGTGTTGAGACATGCTGTTCTTTGAATTTGTTCTAGTTTACGGATAGCTGTTAATTTTTCGGTTTCCGATACCCAGACAACTGCACCGTATGGTACCATAGGTCTTATGACAGCCGTGTAAGCCCATGCGACGACTCTGGGGGAGAAACTCCTGGTGCGCCCCACGGTTTGGTGGCATTGTTCATAAGCAATTTATGCTCTTTTAACTGTGTTTTCTAAGTGCGAGTTCCATGTTAACTTGCTGTCAAAGGTGAGACCTAGGTACTTCACCTCTGTTGCAAAGTTTAGTTTTGTGTTTAGGAGTTCTGGAGGTTTTAATTTTATTTTCAATCTTTTTCAAGCCTCTTATATTGACATCTTCTACACTTCTGTTTACTGCTCGCTTTGAGAACATGTTATGTATCCATCCACTAACCATTTGTGGAAAATTCTTGTTGGTTAGTGAGTTTATTATCTTTGGGAAGGTGGTTTTATCAAAAGCACCCAAGGCGGACTCCTTATTTTCCAGGGATCTTTCTATCCGGCCAGCAACTAGATGAAGGGCTGAATCAGTAGATCTGCCTGGGGTGTATGCGTGTTGGTTTGGGTGTAGTGGTGTTGTTGTAATCACTGCATCCCTTATGTACCTTTCGCATAACCTTTCCAATGTCTTCATCGAAAACGAAGTCAGATTAATTGGTCGGTATGTTTTTGGGACAGTGTAATCCCACTGAAGTAGGGCTTGATAGATACTGTCAGATCCTGGCAATTTAAATGGAGAGAAGCTGGATATTGCCCATCTAATTTTTTATCGTCTACAATGTGTTTGGCAGTTTGTTGATAGCAGAAGTTTAACGCTAACTTCGAAGTTGGCAGTTTTCGTGCCATCCTCTTTGATTAGCGCACCAATGCTTCAGTGTGGACCTTTTGAGAGAGCTTTTTGAAGCCTCGCTGCCTGCGGGAAATCTTCTTCGATTTCTTCGCAGTAGGATCTCCAAGCAGAATATAATTTTAAATATTTGACAATCTGGCCGCGTGTTTACTGTCATTTTATAATCCGACTAGCCATATCAGAAAATAATATGAATTTTAAACGAGAATTTGAAAATCTGGCTGCCTTTTGTAAAATGTCTTGACATTTTATAAAACGTCGGGTTTTACAATTTGGCTACGACATACGTATTACTCATATTTTTTTTCTCACAATAGAGTATTATTATTGAGCCATTCTATTTTATTAAGCTTTGCAGAATTACTGAATTTTTTTTCCTTCATTGCAGAATTTATAATCCTTACTCTCCATTGTGTCCGCGTTTTTTTTTTTTAATTTAACCCCTGTACTACTACATTTTCTTCAAACATGCTCTACCGAGTGTTTTCTCGGTAGTGTTTAGACTCTATATACTCGTGTAGTAAAAAATGATTTTATTTAATTTAAATGGATCGAAATACATACATTTTCCACACACATCTTACTCGTAATATTTTTTTACACTTTTCTCAAATTTTTCCATTACGGTCCATTTTATAGAAATCCTGTATACAAAAGAAATTATAGAGAATGATATAGCAAACAACTTTTATTTGAACATTTTTTATTTAATTCTAATTTTGCACTTTTTTTTAAATGTCTCGAATACGGGCGATTTTAGGATAATCATGTATAGAGCAAAAGTTAGAGCGAATAAAATCACAAGCATCTCATTAGTGGATGGATTAAAACCTAAGTTTAATTTAGTGTTTTTCTGTTTATCCGTTTTTGAGTTATTTTTTACCACACAAACACACACATAGACACACACACATAAGTCCATTAGCACCATTTTAAGCTTCGCTTGTCTTAGCGGTGCGAATAGCTCTTAGACACACACACACATAGACATACACACACATACACAAACGCCATCGCGAATATAGTCAAAACAGATTCAGAGTACCCCAAACCGTAAAAATTCGTCGAAAATTCAAGGTCAAAAATAATCATGATTCCTATACTTTCCTGCTGTATAAGACAAAAAAAAAATAAAAATTAATTTTAACAAAATATTCAAGTAAAATTTTTTATGGATTACTTTTATAGCATAAAAATATGCAGCTACAGGGTGATGAACAAAAAAAGAATCGCTTGTAAAAATACACGAGGTGT